GTGTGTGTGTGTGTGTGTGTGTGTGTGTGTGTGTGTGTGTGTGTGTGTGTGCTTGCGTGCTCGCATGCGCTGGGGTTGGTCTGGTGCTATTGTATTCTGATGCTATAATTATTGGCCCCCAAGATCTGGTTACTGCCCTGCCATGGGTATTGTTATAATGTTGAACTGTCTCCTGTAACCATGTGATGAGAAGGAATGTTCCCCAATTTTCCCTGAGTGCCTGATTAGAAGGCCTATACCTGGGCAGGGTAGGAGGTAGGCATGGCTAAGGTTCTGGGCTTCGGGGACAAAAGGATCACTGGAGAAGGAAATAGGAAGGAGGGAGCCACCATGGGTTAGGGCAGAAAGAAACACATGGCTGACATGGATGGAGGAAGTGGCCCAGAGAGAGAATAAGCAAGTATTTATGTAATTATGGGTGGGAGGTAGCCTGGGATGGGGCTGGGAGGTAAGGGTAGTTTAGAAGGTTAATATCTGCCTTGTCCCAGGTAAGTTACGGCCATTCTAAAATCTATCAGGTGTCTGTGTCTTTTATTGATTGTGATAACGGGTTAGATATACTGTGTAAAAATTATAGAGCAAATAATAAACATTATTATACTATACTATTAATTTAACCACAACATGCGGGGGGGGGGGGCGCCAGCATTAGGTCATAAGACTGATACCTTTTTATTAAACACAGACCACAAAGCCATCTTTGATATAAGTGAGAGAGAGATAGTAGGCCTTTGAATCCCACACTTTGGAGATTCAGGTGTGGTCTGGTTTATGCACCTCCTCCTCCTCCAAGAAGAACATTGACTTAGAGGGAAGAGTTTAGGGCCTGAGCTCCTGAGTTTCTTACAGATGATGAGCACATTTGGAAAGATGATGGTGACCCCTGTGGAGCTGCACAAGACCCTCAACACCAAAGTGTGGCAGGAGCACACACTGGCCTGGGACACCATTTTCAGATCAGGTAAAAGGACCACCCTTTCCACTCCCCCCTATGATCCAGGAACTCTGACCCTAGGCCTAGGAGAGGCTTAGTCTGATCTACCTGACTGAATCACCATGATCTTCCCATGGCGTCGCTTCTCCTACTTTCTAGAGCTTCCCGAACTCACGCACATAGCTGGGTCAAGCAGCAGAAGGTGGCTCAAGAGAGAGTTTCCCAGCCAGACTTGAGTTCACACGTGGTGGTTTGGCCCTATGTGTCATCACCTTTTCATCCTTGATTATCCCATCTCTAAAATAATGAATGACAGTAATTCCCACTTTGGCACACTTTTAATGTGCCTAGCACAACACCACATGATATTTTGGTGGTTAGGGCTATTTTTGCTCCACGACAAGGGGTGTTAAGGGTGGGGTGCATGAATATGTTCAATCCTTACACAAAGCCACATAGTCAGCTCTTCCATGAGTCCCCAAGCAGTTTTCCTGAGCCACACCTAAGCAGCTCTCCCAAGACTCCAGGCTCCAGGCTCCAGAACTAAGGTCCCAACTGCACCATGGGGAATCACCCTGCCGACTGTCTCCATGGAGATCTTAGTCTGGTGTCTGCCTGCATAAGGAATTAAAGTGAGCCAGCTGTCCAAATGCGTTCTGTAACTGCTAAATGCTGAGTGTGACTAGTAGCTCCAGGCACCATGCACGTGTGTTGATGTGCCTGCGTCCAAGTTTGGGGTGCGCACATAAGCCCAATTCTCGTCCCCTCTCACCCTGATCCCGTCTGAGCTCTGAGCTTTTGTTCATCAGAATGTGACTTCAGACCAACAGCACCTGCCCCCCAGAGCTTGATAGAAATGAAGACTTCAAGGCCGAACATGGTGGTGCATGCCTTTAGGACCAGCACTCTAGAGGGAGAGAGGCATGTATCTGTGAGTTTGAGGCCAGCTGGCCTACATAGTGAGCACAGATAGATTGATAGATTAGATAGATAGATAGATAGATAGATAGATAGATAGATAGATAGATAG